CAACTCCTGGTACAGGCAAGCCGCATACCAGAGGATGCGCGGCAGGGATGCTAGGGCCTCGGAGGGCCTCGTTGGGGTTTTCGACCGGAGCTGGCCAGCGAAAGTCGCCAAGGATGGGCCGAGGGGGCCAGGATGCAAGGGCCGCCTTGGAAAGTCGTCCATCCTTACTGTGCGACTTGACTGTGCGGTGCATGCAGGTCGTCCACGGACAAGGCGGCCCAGAAGGCGCCCAGGAGGGACGACGAGGAAGACGCGCCCGGCCGGCGCCGCCCCCGCGGCCGAGGCGGGCGCCATGCGCCCTCCGATGCGCAGCAGCCGCGCGCCGCGGAGCGCCACGGCCAGCTGGTCCGCGTGCAGCTCCAGGGCGGTCTTGGCCTGGGAGGCGCCCCGGAAGGTCGCGATCACGACATATCACGACGGCGCTCTGCGCTGGGCCTGCGCCCGCGGCCTGAAGCCTGCGCCTTGCGTCTCGTCATCCTGATCACGATCATGATCATCATCATCACCAGCATCAACTCCATCATCATCATCATCATCATCATCATCATCATCATCATCATCATCATCATCATCATCATCATCATGATCATCATCATCATCATCATTATCATCATCATCATCATCATCATACTTAACATCTTTATATTCATCCTCATTCTCAACATCATCACCAACAGCATCAACACCATCACCATGATCATCACCATCATCATCAATATCATCACCATCATCAAGACCATCACCACCATCACTATCACCACCATCATCATCCGCAGCATCGCCATCACGATCATCATCGTCATCGCCATTATCCTCATCGCCAATCTCATTATCGTGACCACCGTCATCATCAACACCAGCACCAACAGCATCAACAACACAACCATTTGCATCATCATCAACATGATCGTCATCAACATCAGCATCACAAGAATAATCACCATCATCGTCGGCGTCCCCATCATCCGCATCATCGTCATGATCAGCATCCGCATCATCATCATCATCGTCGTCATCGTCGTTCTCATCGTCCGAGCAACCCCTTCTCTGCTGCTTCCTTCCTGTCTACCACCGAAGAGAAGAAACCAAAAATGAAGGTGACGGCAGAGGAGGAGGAGGAGGAGGAGGAGGAGGAGGAGGAGGAGGAGGAGGGAGAGGAGGAGGAGGAGGAGGAGGAGGAGGAGGAGGAGGACACGGAGGAAGAGGAGGACGACGACGACGGCGACGGTCGCACCGCCGATTCCCAAACAGCGTTTTCCCTACGCCGCGCAGACACCGTCTGGGGTCCACGCAGCACCCCGATTCCCCAAACAGTGCTTGCACTTACGTGGGCCCTGTTTAGGGTTCCATCTGTCGCCCTGTCTTTTTTCTCTCGGGGCTCTCGTTGGGACAGTCACCTTCGCGATATGCCCAGGCCTAACTCCCGCCTGCGCCCCGCCTCCAGATGTCCGGCAACACGTGGTCCACGACGACCCACCGCTGGCCGTAGAGGTCGGCGAGATTTCCGCGCGACGCTTTGTCGACGGGATTATCTGCTGAAGCCACCCGTTCCCACCGCGGGTACATGGATCTGGAGCTGCGCTCTTTCCAAGTAGCGTGCGCGATCTCGTTCGTGTGAACGGCCATTGACGAACCCTTAATCCACGACCACTTCGCAGATTCGTTGTCGATAAAGCGAATCCATACACACCTGCGTAATAACGTGGGCCACGTAGCCAGCGCTAGCAAGGGGCCCGCGGCCTCGATCTCCTGGATGGCGTTCACACGGTCGTGCCGGGGGCACCGCATCATCCAGGGCTGCGGCACCGCAGTGGCGGTGAGCACTCGCCGAAAGTCTGGATCACGCGGCTTCCAAATGCCTTCTGCCACTCGCCCCGCGCCTTCCCCGTCGCTCACCGCAACAAAGAGGGGCCGCGATCCGAGGGCGAAAGGGGCTTCCCGGCCTGGCTGCTCGCGCAGAGCGTGCTGGAAACAGCGCAGCGTGGCGCCGGTGGAACCTGGCAAGCCCGCCCCCCCGCTGCCATCGGACTGCCGACGCCTCAATGGCGCCAGCGCCAAGGAACCGTAGCGGCCGAAAAGAAACGACCGAGCCCATCCCAACCGGCCTCTGAGGGGGCCCGCCTCTGCAGCAGACAGCCGGCCGCTCTGCGGGTAGTGGTCGATGTCGCGAATCAGCGCCACTGCTTTCTGATTTGGCGACCGAGCGACAGGCCGAGGGATGTCTACCGCGACTTCCGCCCCGAGCAGCTTCCACGCGCCAGCTGGCAGAGGCGACTCATGATGGTCGAGCTTCCACCCAATCAGCCTGCGAAGCCCGACCCAACAGAACGCCGCGCGCGATGCTGCGCAGGCCCGCTCCGCGCACCAGGAGTCATCGCTGTGGTGACACACTGGAATGGCACAGAAATGTCTCGCCACAGCGCGCATCGCCGCCGGGCCCTTGACGCAGTCTAATATTGCGACCCAGCGCCCCCGAACACTTGCCCCAAGTTGCGCAGGAGGACTGGCTCGAGCCGCTCCGGGTGCCACGTCGCCGACCACGCCCGCTGCATCTGCTCTGGGGCCAGCGGATTTTGGCGGAAAGCGCCGCTGTGATCGGATGTGAGAGCCAGCGAGGGGCTCTCCAGCGCCCCAGTGCTCCTTCGAGAAGCGCACTGCGGCTCGCGCCGCATCCAAGTCGTCCGCCGCGCGCGCCTCCGACGCGTGGACGGTTGCATTCGCGCCGCTGGATTTGAGGTTCTCGATATCTCGCGCCTTCCAGGCGCCCGTGGGCCCGCGCCCCCGCGCCGGGAAACCGGGGTGCACCGCCGCGTTGGCGAGGCCCACGTCCGAGACAGAGAATGGCCCCGCAACAGCTCCAGCGGCAATTTGTGTCTCGCGCTTCGACCGTGCTGCCTAGTCCAAGGCGGCGTCGCCCGAGCCTCTGACGCCGGCGACGATCCGGCGGTTCCTCTCGGGGGCATCTTTGACCCAGTCCTGCAGATCTACCGACGCCACAAACTCGGCCGCTCTCCAAATGCCTGCAGGCTGGATTGCACCCAGAGCCGGCCGCCCGGCACACAAGGACTCAAAGCACGTCTTGTCCGGGTGCCCAGACGCGACAACCAGCTTCTTCAGGAGGGGGCCACGCAGGTGGCCGTTTAGATTACCCGGCGCACGTCGGGATGCAAAGCGGCAGCCCAAGCCTCCCTCTCGGGATCTCTCGGGTTCCAGATCTTTCGCCGATTCTGGCATGAACGCGCAAGCTTGACTACCTCCGGATCGGCAGCTTGCGCCCGGCACGCTTCCCCCACTGAAGCGTGTAAAGTGGGAGGGGCGCACGTCGGGTGTTCACGTGTTTCAGGAATCCCCGAGGCCCGACGCATTCCGGCACCAGAGGGGCCGCACCGGCGTTCCGCGGCTGCAAGGCGCTAGCAATCGCGCGGCCCGCGCGCGCCATTGCTGGCACGTCGCGGGCGCCGCCGAAGCCCGCCCCGCGGCTCACCGGCGGCAGCTCCCTCAGACGCTTTGCGCGCGGCGCAGAAGCATCTTCACTCGAGCATCGCTGGCTCCTCTTCGCCGAAGGCGAACGCCCCCCGCTACCGGGGAATGACGGGTGGAACTCTACATCACGCGCTGGGTGCTCACCCCCGCGCCCCTTGACGTCGCAGGCGCGCTTGAGCATGCGCCGCTCGCCGTAATTGCACTTGCCGTCGTTGTAGAACTTGCCAGAAGTCCTTGCCCGAGCTGCCGCGCGGGCCTTTTTAGCTGGCGCAGGGGCCCCGTCGCCCTGGCTGCCAGCGGCGGACTGGTCAGCGTGGCGCTCTACGGATAGGGAGACCCATTCGGTCCTGCACTCCTTCACGGCCTCCGTGAATATCTTATCGTCGTTGCGCACGGCGTCCACCCGCTTCACGCGCATCTGTTGGTCCGCGCGCCTCACGGCCTCCACGCTGAGGAGGCGCCCGTTCTTCTTCTCGTGCATCTTGAGCACGACCCACTCGTGGTAGTCCAGCAAAACCGACCACTCCGCCGCCGCCCAGTCCGGCGCGGCGGCCCATGCCATCGTGTTCATGAGGACGCGGTGCTTGTAGGTGAACGCGTGGGCCGACATGTTGTTGTCATCGGGCGTGTGCTACGCGGCGTCGTTGTCAAGGGCGTGCGCCTTCCTGATGTCGTGCGCCGCGGGGACCTTGCGCTCGTGCTCGCGCACCAAACGCCCCATCAACGCATCGTTTCCGAGGAGGTGGGCTGGCAGACGGATTTGGTGATACTCCACGAACGTGTTTGTCTTCTTGCCTCGCACCTCTGGGCCCACTGGGTCGTCCCAGTCGCCGAACTTACCCTTCTTGATGAATTCCAGCTCACCAATTACTAGGACTTCGGCCTCTTGCCACGCAGCCTTTATCTGCTGGCACAGCGGCCTGTCGGACGCATCCAACCCCGCAAGGGTACAAATACCCTCGCCGACATCGGCGTTCGAGTCCGCTACGCTAGGGCAGATTGTTACCGTCTGCTTTGTCTTCAGGTGCTCAAACACCATAACCGAGCAGAAATCTCCAACGCCGTGCTTGGTTTACGGAAGTTTGTTCGTATCGGCTGGCAGTTGCGTTGTGTTTGGGCCCTGTTTTCCAGCCACAATGGCTCCAGACAGCTTGATTTCACGAGCCCGCATCAAAGAACGGGAACGATGCATATGGGACTTGGATGTTCCTCCCTGACGCGCATGTGTACTTAAACGTAACGCACATCCTGCTCTTGGCTCTCCGGCCAGTGCGCACAGATGTTCAAATTTTCATGTGGCGTGAACTGTGCATATGCTCAAGCCCTCAAGTGATGCGAATGGCTGCCTGGACGGAGGGATACTTAATCTACACACGTTCAAGCGATGTTGGCCCAGAATAAAGTTTCACCAAGTTTGTTTCTTTTCTATTTGGGGTGGGGGACATTGTGGGGTGGTCAAACTCACTATTTGACCTCTGAGCCGAAATCCTCCAGAGAAGGATTGGGAAGCCCAAGCGCCCCTCTCTGTCCCAAGCGGCCCCTCTCGGATTACTGACTCGCCCCCTTACCCAAATCCGCAGCTGCACATCTTACACAAAAGTCGGAGGTACGATGAGAAATGTGGACGCCACCGGCCCTGCCAACCACAAGCCTCCATCCAAAATTCTATATTCTCATCAACATCATCAACAGCATCATCATCATCATCATCATCATCATCATCATCATCATCATCATCATCATCATCATCATCATCATCATCATCGTATTCATCGTTCTCCCCCTCCTTGTCCAATCCCTGCTGATGCTCCTTATTGTATTGCTTCTCTTCATCTGACAAATTTTGAAGTAGTGGTCGGCGTAGCCTCCAGACCGAACAGAGAATACCCGAGAGCAGGAACTCAAACCATCACTTGGGAAGTGCTAGACTCGCTGGGCCGATCCTCACCTATCCAAGCCGACTGCCATGAAGGAGCGAGGTCCTCAGGGAAGCGGATCCCCATGGATCCCCGGGAACGCATTTTCGGCCCAAGGCGTTCTTGGGCCTGAGCTCCCGCTGGCAAGGGCCCCTCTGGCCATCGCTCGGACGTCCATTTCCTGTGCTTTTTTCGGTTTCGTGCGTGGTTTTTTCGCGAAATGATCAAGGATGCTCCTCGATGGTCCTCGCCGAAGGTAAAATGCACACGTCCGAGCGATGCCAGGCCTGAGGTGCCGAACACGGCGGAAAGCCCGAGGACCCCGCCGGTGAGCCGAGCCGCGGCCCCGACCCCGATGCTGACCCGCTCCTGGCCCCGACCACACCGCGCCGAGAGCGCGAAGCAGCCCCGCCGATCGAGCGTGCGCCGCCCGCGCCGACCCAGAGATCCCCGCCAGTGGCAACCCGAGGCTCGGCGAGGTCGGGAGCCCCGGCCGGGGCCCGCTCGGCCCAGGCCACGCGGCCTCGAACTCCGCGCCGCCCCCCCCCCCCGAGATGGGCAAGCGCGTTTCGCTACTCGCAGAGTCACTGCTCGCAAACGGCCTGGATCTGCTGTGGGGGATCTGCGATAAAATATATATATATATATATATATATATATATATATATATATATACATATATTACATCGAGGCGAACGTGGGCTTTTCGGACGTTTGCGAGTACAGTGAAAAAAACGTATAGTAAGGACGCGTGGTAAGGACGCAAGACCCTTGGAGGCCGAAGTTGAAGTATTCTGGGCGGCAGGCGGCCAAACCCCCAGGGAACCTGAGAAACTGGCCCGCGAAAACTGCCAGGGACAGGCCGCAGAGGCTGAGGCAGGCAGGGACCCAAGGGCACCCTTGAAAAAATCGCTTGTCCTCACTATGCGCGTTGACTGTAGGCACACTGCGAGCAGTGGAGCGCGCTCGGCGACGAGAGGAGAGGCCGCGCCTGGCCGCGGCGCGCGCGAGCCGTGCGGCAGCCCCGCGGGCGCCCTCCTGAGGCCGCGGCGCTCCACTCCCGCCACAGGTGGGGGGCCTCCGGTGGCCCGGCGCGGAATGGCGGGCGTCTGCTCACGGGGGGGGGAGGGAGGAGGGGGGGCGGGGGGGGGGGCAGGGGGAGGGGGACGGAGGAGGAGGAGAGAGGAGGAGGAGGAGAGGAGAGGAGGAGGAGGAGGGAGGAGGGAGGAGGAGGAGGGGGGAGGAGGGAGGAGGAGGAGGAGGAGAGGAGGTGGGAGGAGGAGAGGTGGGGAGTGGAGGGTAGGAGAGGGAGGGAGGGAGGGAGGAGGTGGGGAGGGAGGAGGTGGGGAGGGAGGGAGGGAGGGAGGGAGGGAGGGAGCCGGGCGGAGAGCGCGCGGGCAGGGCGGGCGCGCGGCGGGCATCGCCGGCGGCACTCTGCCTCGGAGCGGCCGCCTGCCGCGCGGGGCGCTCTGGCGCGGGAGTCCGGAGCTCTCGGCGCCGCGGGCCACGAGGCCGGCGTCCGTTTCGGATGCCGCTCCTCCCTGGCGCGCGGAGCGCGCCAGGGGCGGCGCAGGAGACGCTGCCAGCGCAGATCCAAGACAGCCGCGCGGACCGTCGACACCTTGCCGTTCCTGCGTGCCTCTTCCTTCGCCGATGCGTGCGCTCGGTCCTTGGCCTCGTCGGGCAGCACGGAGTCCTTTGCGGGTGCGGGGCAGTCGTGGAACGGCACGCTGGGCCGCCAGGTTCGATGATGCGGGCGTGGTGGCACAGGCCAGGGCGCGCCCGATCAGACGCCATGAGCGGCACGCGCACGCTCGTGCCAAGGCGGGCTGTCTGCAGCTCTCTCTGTTTCCAACTCTCCGTCTCTGTCTCTACCTCTCTCTGTCTGTCTGTCTCAGTCTCTTTCTGTCTGTCTGTCTGTCTCAGTCTGTCTGTCTGTCTGTCTCAGTCTGTCTGTCTGTCTGTCTCTGTGTCTGTCTCCACCTCTGTCTCTGCCTCTGTCTGCCTGTCTCTGTCTGTCCATCTCTGCTTGTCTGTCTCAGTCTGTCTGTCTGTCTGTCTGTCTGTCTGTCTCTGTGTGTCTGTCTCTGTCTGTCTCTGTTTGTCATCTCCCATGATCGCTGCAGTACTGGTCTCGGCGAATTTGGCCGCATGCGCATTCAAACTTGCGAACCCAACAAACGAAAGGCGTACAACCCTTCGTGACACGACCACTTGTCTATCAGAGCTCTGTTTGCACATGCAGAATAATTTGTTATTGCGCAGCTCCTGGATCACGGTAATTGCTCTGCAGCCTAATTTACCGCCTGGGAGCCAGCGTCAAGGTACAAGTACGTACATTCCCGTACGGAGAACGCTCAGGAGGGAGATCGAAAGGGAAAGACTGGCATCCACTTCGAGACAAGGCTGTCGAGAATAGGATCGGTCAGGCTCATCACAAAAGCGCTGCCGTCTGTGATTATCTGCATCTGCATCTTCGGAGGCTTACTATTGCTGCTGCTCCGAATGCCCTATACCGCCGATGCAAGCGACACGAGATTTTGGAATGAGAAGGTTAAGGCTGCCTCTTCGTGTTAACTGAAATGCATTGATGTGTCTGTCGGTTATTTGCAGGAGAGATTGCCCAGGGGCATCCTCTAGAAAAACATCCCCTTATTATCTGCGAAAATCTTTCGCGATCTTGATTCGCATCCTTGCTCACATTTGCCCTAGAGAAACGAGTCTACCTTCCAGCCAGGCTGGGTCCTTCCCGAGTAATTGACACCGTTGGGCTTCGAAATCGACAAAGTCTTCGCAGAAGGCGCGATCAGGATGCGTCTTCGGGTTAGGGTGAGGGGTAGGTGGGCTAGGTGCATGGTTTTGAGAAATTGTTGGGAGGAGTAGCCGGCTTCCAAATAGGGTGGTTATCCCATAGCGGAGTGGTTTTGTCTTCAGGGCTCCAGAAGTCATTGTTGGAGGTCGACACATTCGAGCTCGGTCTAGGGCTTCGGCTTAGGCGCTGGGCGCAGGGGTCGGGATTCCAACTGAGGGTGTCTGGAAGGGGCCCGCGCTCGGGTCATGGCGCGGGTGTGGATTCGGGCGAAGGTTGCCAGACGAGTGAATGCTGCAATGGGTACGGTCTTGGACTATGGGTGCATGGGGGCCGGGCGTGGGGCCCAAGCATCGAGGACGAAGTCCGAGTGTCGGGTCCGAGTTCTGCGTTGGGGTGAGCTTGGGGCCTGATGTAGGGTGCAGTGTCTGCGGTCCTCCGGGCCCAACAGACCCCAAGAAAACCTCACAGTCGCCTGGAAGGCCCCGACAGATGCTCAACAGGCCCGGGACGTGTCCCCAACAGGTGGTGCTTCCAGAGTTCCTCCAGAGGCAAGGGAACAAAGACTGCCACATGTTGCGGAGGCAGCGTCCAAACGTCCAGCTTTTCCAAGGCGTGTCTCTCTCTCTCTCTCTCTTTCTCTCTTTCTCTCTTTCTCCCCCCCTCTCCTCCAAAGGAACATAAAGCGGCATAAACACAAACAGCTGGCGGTCCGCGTGGATTTCTTGGATCCGAGCTGGACCCCCCTCCGTCCCAGCGCAGATCCAACAAATCCGCGCGGACTGCCAAAAGTTTATGTTTATGCCGTTTGTGTTGTTCTTCGATCCTTCCCCCCTCGACTTCGCTTCCATCTCCCTCCTGCTCCCCCCTTTCCCCTCCTCTGATTCTGCCTCACTTCCCTCCCTCCTCGCCCCCTCCCCTCCGCTCCCCTCCTCGTTTCTCCCCCCTCCCCTCCTCTTCTCTCCTCCTCCTACTCTTCCTCCTCCTCCTCCTCATCTTCTTCCTCCTCCTCCTCCTTCTCCTCACCCCCCTCCTCCTCGCCTTCCCATCGGCACGGCTTCTTCTTCTGAAGCTGGAGCAGAGCCTTCTTGGAGTGCGGTTCCTGTTGCAGCTGGTGGAGAAGCTGTGAAGCCCTCGGTTCCCAAGGGCTTCAAGCTTAATTGGCTGCACAACATTTGGGCCTTTTTGCAACGGTGTGTCGAATGGGATCGTTGGGAGGCAGTGCAAGTGCTTAGAGGCTAGGTACCGCTCGGCGTCGTGGAGTGTGCCGGAGTTTCAGCGTGAGGGCGCGATGATCATTGCATTCTCAGAGGATCTGGATTTCTACACCCTGGCCTCGAACTTGGAGTCTTGCGCACCTTCCCAATCGAACTCTCAGTGAAGCCCTCGGCCGAGGGCTTCAAGTTATTGGTATGGTTGCTTCATGCTTGCACTCGACCGTAGAGGCCCCCTTGTCGCTTTCATGCCGCCTCAGCTTGAATTCCAGCCCAACGTTTTACGGCTCCTGCGCATCGCACTTTTCGATCCAGCTTGCCAGTGGCTTCGTGCAGCCTGTCATGGAGAAGTCCACAGCAACAGAAAATCCTCCTCGAATTCTTCGTCCCGAAGCGACGGCCCACCGCTGCCCCGCGGCCTTCCGCAAGGTGCCGTCGCTGGAACACATCACGTCGCACAGCACCCGATCGAAGCGCACCTCCGCGCCATCCGGCTCCCGGATCGACCTTGGCTCCTCCTCCAGTTCCTCTTCCTCCTCCTCCTCCTCCTCCTCCTTCTCCTCCTCCTCCCTCCTCCC